GTCACAGGATACGAGATCAACAAAAGTCATTTCCATATGCTGACAATGAACAAAGGGACACCAAAATAAAAGATACAATAGCATTTACAATTGACCCAAAGAACACAAAATACTTAGCTACAAATCTAACAAGACATGTACAGAATCTATGAGGAAAATTACAAAATGCTGATGAAAGAGCTCTAAATACGTGGAGAGACATACCATGTTCATTGACTGGAAGACTCAACAAAGCAAAGATGTCAATTCTTCCTAAATTGATCTATAGGTTAATATCATTCTTATCAAAATCTAACAAGATTGTGTGTTTTTATTTTTGTAGATACAGACAGGCTTATTCTAAAATTTATATGAAAAAGGAAAGACCCTAGAATAACCAAAACAATTATGAAGAAGACGAGTAACATTTACAACAAGGCTGACCACATAGGCACAGTAATCAGACAGTATGGTCTTGGTGGAGGTAGACCAGAGACGCAGTAATAGAACCGACAACCCAGAAACAGATCCACACAAATATGTCCAACTAATCTTTGACAAAGGAGCCTTTTTAAGAAGTGGTATTGGAGCAACTGGACATCTGCAGGCAAAAAAAGAAAAAAACACCCTAAAACCCTAAACCTCATACCTTACACAAAAATTAACTCAAAATGAATTATGAGCTCAAATGTAAAACATAAACTACAAAATTACTAAAAAAAAAACAAAACTGGAGCAAATCTTTGAGACGTAGAATTAGGCAAAGATATTTTAGATTTCACACTAAAGCATAATCATAAAAGAAAATAATAAATTAGATCTCATTGACATTAAAAACTTTTGCTCTGAGAAAGACTATGTTAAAGGATGAAAAGATTAAAGACTGGGAGAAAACATTTGCAAATCACATATCAATGAAGGACTTTTATCTAGAATATGTAAAACAATTTAAACTTGACATTAAAACAAGCAGCCCAATTAGGAAATGGGTCAAAGTCTTGAGAGGCATCTCACCAGAAGGTTATGTAAGGATGGCTGGCACGTGCACTTGAGAAGGCTAACCAGTCAGTCGTCGGGGACATGCAGGGTAAATCACACCGCAAAACCAGCATACACATCAGAATGGTTCAAGCTCAAATACTGACACGCCTGTATTCATTTCCTACTGCTGTAATAACATCTTAACACACATTTAGCGGCTTAAAACAACAGTTCTGTCACAGCCAGAGGTCAGCAGCCCGAGACGGCGCCTGTGGGTCTAGGGACATTCTAGGGAGAACCCCGTTCCTGGCCTTTTCCACCTTCTGGTGACCGGTGACCGCCGTCCGCCTTCGCAGGTGGTGACGGCCGGTCGGGCTCCCTCAGGGCTCCACTCGGACACTAGGCCCCCACCCCCACTCCACCTCTAAAGGGCCCTGTGATTACACTGGCCCTCCGGGCTCATCCGCAATAATGCTACCTTGGGATCGACTAACTCCTGCCTTCCATCTGTAACCTGCGGCCTCAGGCTCGCCCTGTGGACAAGTTCTGAGGAGCAGGCGGGACACCTGGGGGCCCTCACCCTGTCACAGCACCAGGTGCAGTGGGGACACGGGAGCACCCACATCTCCTCTGTTGCTGGTGGGACGGTGACACCCTGAAAGCAGTCTGACAGTTTCTTACAGTTAAACGCACACTTACACGTGCGAGCCAGCGAGTGCACTCTTGGGTATCACCCCACAGAAGCGAAGACACATGCTCATACAAAACACGGCAAGAAGGCTCACGGTGCCCTACTGGCGACAGGCACAACGTGGGCCCTGCCCAGGTGTTCCTCGATGGTGGGCAGTTAAACAGACTGCAGTCCACCCTGCCCAGCAGCCAGGAGGGAACTGCTGGACCCCCAAGTGGGGTGCTGAGTGAAAATGCCGGTGCGCAAGGGCACACACCACACGGTCCATTTCCACGCCAGAGAAGACGGGTGCTTCCCAGGGGTCAGGGGCGGGGGCTAGGGGGCCCGTGGCGACATGGAGTACACGGAGCTGCATGCACACACGCTCGCGCACACACTGGGGGGCTCTGATGTCAGTGGACTGGACCCACATCCATTCCCCGGTTTTGTTTTGTTTTTAAGATTTTTATTGGGGAATTGGGGGATGCGAACAGCGCTGGGGAATTGGGAGAAGGGGAACAGACAAGTTGCTGTCCTTTTGTTCTTCAGTCTAGTTGTGGAGGACGTTGCTTCACTGGCCCAAATTGGCACCATCATTGCGCTCTTCCTGGATGAGGCAGATCAGTCGCCGGCTTCTGGACGGCCGCTCACGGCGGCTGCTGGCCGCTCACGCTGGCTGCTGGCTACACACAGTAGCCCATGGCACCCCACTGCAGCAGGGGCTACAGCTTACGCCGTCACCGGCGACTCACCGCAGCCCAGCTCCAGGTTGAGCTGTTGTTCAGCATCTTAGCTGTGGAGGGCAGTGTCACTGGCCCTCATATGTGGGATCCGAACCGGGGCCCTCTGGCATCCCAAGCCAGCTCTTAACCATCGCGCCACTCAGCCAGCCCCATTCCCTGGTTTTGATGTCCTGCAGCCACTGGGGGAAGCTGCATGTGGGGAACACAGGGCGCTCCTCACAGCTTCCCTAACTGTACTTATTTCAAAACAAGTTAAAAATCAAGGCCAGAAACATGTCTGATTGTTGGTCCAAAGGGAAGTCAGCCCGGGGCTCTCTGTGGGGCTTCTCGAACCCGGGTCCATGCTCTGTGCCCTCCAGGCTCCCCCACGGGCACAGCATCCAAGGGGTCAGCCAGCAGGAGGGCAGGACGAGTGGTCAGGGCCCCCTGTGATTGCAGCCCCTGGAGTAGGCTCTGCCCGGTCCCCCTTGACCCGCCAAACCTTCAGAGCCCAACGGCACGTGGCACATCTTTCCTGCCAGAACCCCACCGACGGAAGCTCAAATTTGGGGTTCTCCAAGCTCCATGCACTTGGAGGCTAGCACGGGGGGGAGGGGCAGGGGGGCAGGTCTGGGCTCAGGGCTGGGTCAGCTGGTGCGCCAGAGACAGGTACCGATGGCCGTGCCACCAGGCTGGTTTGCTGCCGGGCATACGTAACCACCATCAGGCAGCCCCCACCACCACCCGTGCCCGAGGTCCAGGGCCATTTCTGGGGCTGCTGCAACCAACTGCCACACACTGACTTAAAACACCACCCATCTCTTCTCCCTAGACCTACAGGTCAAAGTCCGAAATCCAGGCGCAAACCCGCTTCCTGCCCGTCCAGCCTCCAGAGGCGCCCACTTCCCTTGGCTTGCGGCCCCGCCTCCACCGTCAGAGCGCAGAGCTCCAACCTCTGGTTCAGTCACCTCCCCTTAGGACTGTGGTGACACGGGGTCCCCCGGATAGCCCAGGACAGCCTCATCTCAGGCTCCTTCACTGAGCCCCATCTTTACCATGTGCAGTCCCCTTGACCATGGAAGGTGAGCCACAGGTTCTGGGGAGCACTGTTCAGGCTGCCACACGCCCAGCTCCTTCTCCCTGGTGTCCCCCCGTCCACCCTGGGTGGACAGGGGCCTAAGACCAGAAGGCACCCAAAGCTGAGCTCTGGGCCCCCGTTGTGCAGTCGGAACACCCCTGCCAACACGCTTTCTGCCTGCCTCTGCCCAGCCCTCCCGCTGCATGGGGTCCAAATCCGAGAGCCTCCAGGGGCTCCTCTCCTTCAGTGACCAGCGCCTGGCCCTGCACCTCCCTGCCCTTGGACCCCACCTGGCCTGTCCCCTCTACGAGGGCGTCCGGCCCTTCTCCACACCACCAAGCCTGCTGTCCCTCAGGACTCGGGCTCCCTGCTCTGCCTCCAGCCCCAATCCTGGCTGACCGCTGTTGGCTGGGGGTACGCAGCACGGTGCACCCTCCCTGCCCAGGGCTGGGGGAGCCCTGGGGGGAGGCTCGGAGTGACGATGAGCCCAGCACCACCTGGCTCCATGCTTTCAAGACTGCCGAGGAAGCGTGACTTCTGTAAGGGCTCGTTTTCAGCGCCAGCAGAGAATGAAAAACTACTTAATGGGTATGGAGTTCCACTTGGGAAGAAAAGGTGTGGGGCTGATGGAATGATGGCTGCATGTCAGTGTGAATGTACCTAATGCCAGTGGGCTGGACATCTGGACACAGCTAAGACGGTGAGTTCTGTTACCTGTATTTTACCACAGTAAAAAAAATTTTTTAAAGATTTTATTGGGGAATTGGGGCAGGGGAACAGACAAGTTGCTGTCCTTTTGTTCTTCAGTCTAGTTGTGGAGGACGTCGCTTCACTGGCCCATGTTGGTATTATCATGGCACTCTTCCCAGGTGAGGCAGATCAGTCTCTTGCCATTGGACGGCAGTTCACCACAGCTCACGCCCGCTGCCAGCCAGCCCCACTGCAGCCTATACAGTCACCGGCAACTCACGGCAGTCCAGTTCCAGGTCGAGCTGTTGTTCACCATCTTAGCTGTAGAGGGCGCAGCGTCACTGGCCCTCATGCGGGATCCGAACCGGGGCCCTGATGCTCAGAGCTGGCGTCCCAAACCAGCTCCTAACCAATGCGCCACTCTGCCGACCCCAGACTAATATTTTAAAGGTGTGAGCTTCCTGACTGCCTGTGGCCAGGTCACCCTCCTGCCCAGAAGTGGGAAGGGAGCAGGCCTGGGGCTGTCCTCCCAGGGGTGGGGGTCCCCAAAGAAGGGTGGGCTGTTTGTCAGGGTCTCCAGGGGCTGCGTCGAGAGAGTCCAGTGGAGGCGGGTGGGAGTCAAGGGATGAGGACCCTGAGCTAGGTCTGGCTCCTGGAAGGTCTGCAGGGGCAGCTGGCGTGAGCTGCTTCCCTGTGGCCCGCCCGGCCTCGGGCCGACACTGCAGGACTTCGCGCTCGCCTGCTGGGGATGGACGGAGCCCTACGTGTCTGGGAGCTGTGGGCTCCACCTGCATGCAGAGCTCAGGACGCGTTTGGGAACTGGGGAATGACCACACGGAGCGCTGCCAAGTCACTCGGCAGCACAAGTCACAGACGCAGAAGCGCTTAAATACAGATTTATTGCAAACCCACACGCAGACGGGCAGCTTTGCAGGCTGGCGCCCGCGGTCCTCAGGTGGAACTCAGAGTCCGATCTGTTGCTGCCGCGTCTGTAGAAAGAAAACAGGGCAGAAGCGGCACAGCAACGGACAGAGGGCACACGCGAGACCCCAGGGCGGCGCCATCAGCCGTGTGACCAGTGCCCCCCTTCTATTCCCAGAGGCCTTTGCGCCACTGTCACAGCCGGCGGAGAGGGGAGAGACGCGACACTGAAAATAAAATTGGGCAAAAAGACTGCTGACCAGAGTACACGGCTCTCGAAGTTTCCTACATCGCTGAGGTCAGGTGCCACTCCCCACCTCGTCCCTCCGGGAGACCCCCAAAGGAAAAGGACAAGGAGACTCAGGTGTACACGTGAGGCCTGGGGCCGAGAGGGGTCGCGGAAGGTCCAGGACCAGCTCAGTGACGACTGACTGCAGACCCGGCTCACGCCCCCTTGGCGATGTGCTGACCAGCCACCTGGCGAGCAGCCTGCCTCCGTGACGATGAGCCGGCCCACCCATGCAGCTGGAGGTGGGGCCTCCAGAAGGACCATCTGCCAGACAGGTTGCTGGACCCACAGCCGGGCGGGCAGAGCCCACCAGGCAGGTTACAGTGTGTGGCAATCGTGCCCAGGTCGCAGGCCCCAGCTGGGAGCAGGGCTGGGAGCTCCATGGCGTGGTCGGGAGTCAGCCATGAACGGACCGGGGCTGCTGGCACACCATGGGCTCCTGAGGGCACCCGGCCCAGTTCCCTTTACAACAACCGGGTCTGACAAGAGGGAAGCGCTGGGGGTGGAGGCAAGGCAGCGGGTCGGAGGCCCTGCTGTGCCTGTGGCCACAACTTTCTCCCAATATCCGGAACCGGCGAGGACCTCAGTTTCAACTGTTCCGTGACACTACATATTACAAACGAGCGAGACGGCAGTGACCACGCAGCAAGGTCAGGCCGAGAGTCCCTACACCGCCAGGCGCCAGGCATCGCCCCGCCCTGCACACCCACCCCCACCGCCCAGCACAAGAACAGCAAGCAGCGCACACACAGCGGCGGGCAGGCGGGCGGGCAGCAGGTCCCAGCTGTGCCTGCTGGGACGGACGTCCTGGGCACCCTGCATGGCCCACCCTGCTCTGGAACAGTCTGCAGACGCCAGGCAGGGGAGGCCGCTCGCCCTTGAAAGAAGGGAAGGTGAGGCCACCAGCCTGCGAGTCCCAGCAGGAGGGGCACAGCATGGGCGTCCTCTCGTCACTAGAACTGCACGGCCCCCGGGGAGATGTTGAACATGGCCGGGTCGAACCGCTGGCCTCGGAAGGGAGAGCCTTCAGCGTCCCACCCCTTCTTCAGCATCTCATGGACTTTCTACAACAGAAAACACAGGGGTTAGGCCCAGTCACCAGGCCCACACGGCCAGGCAGGACTCTGCTTCCTTCTCCAGAGGACCCGCCTGGGGTGACTGCAGACCCTCCGTGGCACCATGCTCCCCACATGCTGATCCCACCTCCATCTTGTCACCAGCAAAGCTCAGGCTATCTTCATGGCGGAGCTGCTGTCCCTTCTCACCAAGGGTTTCTGCCCAAACTCCAATGGCCCAGGGAGGAGGCTGGTGGCATCAAGGCCTATACCATCAGATAATCCAGGGTGACCTGGGCCATGACTCAGAGGGAGGCCTCAGGAGATCCCACTGTGGACCCGCCAGTCCTGGACCCACAGTGGCCCATCTAGGAGGTCCCGTGTCCAGGGGACTGCAGCACACTGCGCCCGAGGGAGGTACCGCCCCGAGCCATAGGCTCCCTCCTCTGTGAACACCCCAGCTGGAACCATCTCTGCTCCTTGTGACCCCAAGAAACGAGGACGAGGAAGAGTGACGGCACAGGGCCAGGACCCACACACTGAGCGCAGGGAAAGTTCCGTGTCCGAAAGGCGGCGGCATGCAGGGACCAGGCAACACCATGGCTCACGTGGCACAGACAACGCCCGTGGCTGCCTACTGCGCCAGCAGGGGTGGGTGTCTGGCAGAGGGAGTGTGGGCCAGGCCTCCGCCTACATCCGTCCTCCTGGGCCTCCCAGCACTCTGCACCCCACCTGAGCACACTTGCTGTCACTCACAGCTGCAGCGCAGGCAGGCAGCGTCCCCGGGTGGCACTGGTCTCGTCACTCACACTCTAAGGGCAGCCTTCAACCGTGCCCCCCAGAGGGTCCTGCCCCTCAGGAAACGCAGTACCACTGCCACCACGGCCCCCATCTGAGGTAGACCTGTGGCCCCAATTTCCCCTGGGGACCCCTTTCCTCCAGGGAACAGAACATCAGCTGAACCATCCGTGGCTGTGCAGCCTCAGCACCAAGTGTCACCACGCCTGTGGCTCCTCTCCCGCTGCCGTCTCCTCTGAGGCCCAAAACTGCTCCCAGGCTGTGCTTCCCTCACGGCCCGCGGGGAGAACAGTCCACGTGGACGGCCAGGAGGCGGGCCACCTTTGCTTGGCTCCTTCTGGAATCCCCAAGAAGCCCACGAGGCCCAGGCAGCAGGGCCACCGCAGGGCCAGGCCATGTGTATGCTCCACCAGAGTCACCGCAGTCCCAAGCCATCCATCTCCAGCGAGGGACCAAGGGCAGGAGGCTCCTGGCCACCCAGGAGCAGGTCGGCCAGGTAAGGGTGATCCCAGGTCATGCCACCTGCACTGCCAGCCCTGGGCTCCTGTGTCCGCCGGTGTCCGCAAGGCACCGAGCGCAGCCAGGCCAGCACGCTGCTGGCACGTGCGTGGCGAGCCATCCAGGATGCCTCCCCCCGAACCGCAGTGCGTCCCAGGCTCCTCTTCACATCCATCTGGATCGGGGCCCTCCTGCTCCCCGCGTGGGCGTCAGGGCTCTGTGCCCACCCACTTCCGGATGGGGACACCAGCACCTCCAATGGCTGCACAAGGCCCCTTCCCATCAGGCCAGCATTCAGGCTGCTCTTCATCTGGCGGCCACGGGCAAATGTGTGCAGCCTAAACCTGAGGCCCGTGACCCTCGCCGACGGCCGGCCTCAGTCCCAGCCCCCAGCCCTGTCAGCCCTGATGGGTCCAGGAGCTGGGCCGAGAGAAGATTCAGACACGTGTGGAGGGAGAACAGAGGCCAGAGCCAGCTCAGGGTTTAGGCCCCGGCTGAGCTTCTGGGGCCCAGGGCTCACCCTGTGAAGAGGAGCCGGGGCCAGCGCGACCGACCTGCTTGCAGTGAGGACGGGGAGGCCACACCAGCAGGCCTGCAGGCGGTGGGCCCAGGGCACTCACAGAACCAGCCAGGCTGCAGGAGCCGCACGAGACCCCCGAGAAGGTGACCAGCGTTGGGGGAGGGGGTCCTGTGCTTGTCACATGAGGAACAAAATCACAGTGTGCAGCAACCTGCCCCCCACCCCCACCCCCATGTCACACTGCGGCTCATGTGAAACCCTGAGGGCTAAAAATCAATCTGAGGAAAGAGACCCTTTCTTCCCTGAGTCCACTTATTAAAACACAAGGAAGAATGGAGCCATCTACACTCATCTGAGGTTCTGCCTTCTGTGGTTTGTTACTTGTGGTCAACCGCAGTCCAAAAACGTTAAATGTAAAAGTCCAGAAAGAGATGATTCGTAAGTTTTAAACTGTGTGCCGTTCTCAGCAGCATGATGAAATCTCGAGCCGTCCTCCTCCGTCCCGCCCGGGACGTAAATCGTCCCTTTGTCCAGCGTCCCCACACTGCACACTCCCTGCCTGGCAGCCGTCTAGGTGATCAGATCAACTGTAACGTTGCTTGTGTTCAAGTCACCCTTACTCTACAGAATAACGGCCCCAAAGTGCAACAGCAGTGATGCTGGCGCGTCAGAGCCGCCAGCGAGAAGCGCTAAGGTGCTTCCTGTGGTGAGAAGCTGAGTGTGCAGGACAGCAACATAACAGGGGCGGTACTGTCTTGTTTCAGGCACCCCCTTGGGTCCTGGAACATGTCCCCATAGATACAGGGGGACCCCTGTACTCATCCAACTAACCCCCTCTCTGCACTGCTCAGGCATGAACCTCCTCTTCCTGTCACACAGCCTCTTCCTGTCACAAGCCTCTGGCCACACGGACTTCTTGGGCCTCTGATGATCCAAAGTAACTTGGAAGGACTTCCCGCCCACTGGCCCTTGTGGTCGGACCTGTGCTGGCCCTGCGACAGGGCCCCCATGAGCTAGAAGCCCACACCGTGCAACTGGGGTTGTGTGCACAGGCGCGCCTCTGTCCAGGTGTGAAACCACTGCCCTCTCCCGGCTGTGACCAGGTGACCAGGCTGGAGCTGCCCAAGTCAGGACCCAGCCGGTGATCTTGCCCTGCAGTGAGGTTCCCCATCCACGCCCCACACCCGCCCCACCCCGTCCAGCCCACATCCCCCACTGTCCCATGCACACCTCCCCGGCCCGTCCACCCCCACACGGGCCCCGCCCCGCGCATACCAGCTCGTGGCTCTGCGGCTTGCCCTGCAGCTTCTGGTGGTAGTCGAAGGTGAGCCTGTCCAGCACTGCGTGCTCCTCCTCGTCCACAGTGGCCATGGAGCGCTCCTTGTTGATCTGGTCAATATCGATGGGCTCCTCGCCCTCCAGGACGGCACTCCACCAGTACTCCCCCGCCTTGTTCAGGCTCACCTGGGCAAAGGTGGACACCGGTCAGTGTGCAGCACGACGACCGGACTCTGACACCCCAGGACTACAATCTGGGGGCGACTTCGGGTCCCCCCATGTGTGCCACCACCCCACACCCACTCCGCCGCCAGGACCCTCGCCCACTTTGGCCAGGCCTCTGAGCTACCCGCCACCTGTGTCCCCCTCACAGCCTCCCCAAGATGCCACGGGGGCTCAACCCCAAATGTGCCCTCTTTCAATATCCTTCCGACAGTCCCGGCAGGCCACCCCCTACCTCTCTGATGACCTTGGCTGCTTCCAAGCCTGGCACCCGTCTCCTGTCGGCTGGGGGCCTGGGACCCAAGGACCACCTGCTTAGTGCATTCTGAGCTGCGCACCCCCACCCCCGCCCACGCCCCCATGCCCAGGCACCTTCCTGCTCTCATCCCTGGCCAGGATCCTCCAGTCCTGCAACCACCACATGCGACTCCCCTCCCGGTCAGGGCAAGTGCCCCACACCCAGCCTCACGGCACTACCTGGGGAGGGGGCCTGAGGGACAGAAGAACCAGAAGTGGGGACAGCACCATGAGAACAAAAGCAGAACACTGGGGCTTTGCGTGAAGCTGGTGTCAAGGGCACCTGTCTCAGGACCACATGGTGAGCGCCCAGGCGGCACCCCGGCCACAGTCAGCAGCTCACTGGGAGTCTTGGCAGGGCAGTCCCCTTGCACTGTCCACACTAACGGGAGGAGACCCGTCATGCAGGAGGACAGAGAAGTGACTCACTCAGAGGAGGATATGGGGACACAGGTGACACCTGTGAGGGCGCAGTGCTGGGAGGACACGGGGCAGACGTTCCGGGAATGAAGCTGAAGGATCCTGGTCTAAATACGACTGTGATGAGGTCGGCTGACGGTTTAACATTTGCTTTGGGCTTTTTCATGCTGTTACTTCTTCCAAGTGGGGCTGTGGAGGCCCTTTGCACACAGTGCAGTCCACCGTTGTGTGGGCACATCCTGGCGTTCTCACAGGCCCCTGACCAAGCCGCGCAGGCCATTCCCAGGCGCCCCACCCCCTCGCCCGACGCTCACTGCCTTTTTGCTGGTCGGGTCCGCAATGCTGGTTGCTGATGGAATCACGTGGCTGCAGCCTCGTGTGCCTGCTCTGCTCCAGACATGGAGGTTGGGCCCCATGCTCAGCGTGTCTGACCTAATGACACCATTCCGCGCTCCCACTAGCAACGTCACCAGCACCTGGTGCTGTCGGTTCTTTCCAGCGTGAAGCGACACGTCGCTGGGGTTTTAACTCACATCTCAACGACTGATGTTGGGCATCTTCGCACGTGCTTATTTGCGATCTCATTCTTAAACACATTTTATTTGGAGTAATTCTAAACTTGTAAGTCACCAGACTTGTTCGAGCAAAACACGCCTACCCCTAGATCCACGCAGCCTCTCACACTGGCCGTGCGCACGCTCAGCCTGAGTGTGTAACACGTGGTGCGAACCCGGCGTTTTTTCTGAACCACCTCGGCCGTTCACCCCGAATATCCGATGAGCGCCTCCATCCTGAGGACACGGAAGCACTTTAATTACTGTGCCCCGGCTGAGGATCCAGGGCAGGCTGCCTGTATTTGTGGTCCTGTCCCCTTTCTCCTGGGACACTCTACAGACTTTGTCTTTTGTTGTTTTGTTTTTAAAGGTTATTGTGCACTTGGGGTTTGTCTGGTGTTTCTTCCTGATTAAACTCAGGGAAGCACCCCAACATAACACTGCACAGATGATGCTGCGCTCCTCCTGGGTGTCCCACCTGCAGGCACACGTCACCTGGTGGTGTCCACAGGGGTTCCTGCCCGATTCCATCGGCCCCAGCAGGTGCTGTGCACTGGCCAGTGAGGGCCTGCTGCTCCGTGACGGAGCCCACTGCCCTCAGCACAGACGCCTGGGTGCCTAGCGCCTCGAGGGCTCTCCATCACGCTTGTCCCTAATTGTGTGGTGTCAGGGTCCTGGTGACACACCCCCTCCTTTCTTTGCCTTCCCAGGCTCCTTTCATGGACCTGGTCCCAGACAGAGATTCGGTTTTTCGGGGGACTCCCCCAAGAACGTCCTCAGAGAAACTTTGAACTCAGCATGAACGAGATCACACCAGCCAGTGACTCCCCAGCACTCACCTCCCTCTCCTGCCTTGGTCACAGAACCTCGTTTCTATTCAGGGAGCCAGTGCCCCGTGAGGACGACGGCTCCTCACAGCTGCCCCCAGGGTCAGGTTGGGCAGAGGGGACCTGCGTGAGTCGTGGGTGGTACTTCGTGGGGGGAAGAGTGCAAGACCAGGGAACCCGCTCAGCTCCAGCCATTCTGCGGGGATGCAGTGGACCCGTCTGACCACTGGCCTCTCAGGATGCGCCCAAGGCAGCACTGTATGAGCAATCTGGTTTTTGGTGTTGCCAACTCTTTTCTTAAGCTTAAACATTAGATCACTGCAGGAGCCAGACAACCCGGGCTGCAGTGCAGGTGTGGCTGGAAGGCACGTGGAGGTGGCCCAACAGCCACGGAAAGACGGGGGGGGGGGGGGGGGGGGCATGCCCCGTCCACTGCGAGTGTGGCCTGCCGCAGTTCTTCTGGCACACGCCTTCGGTCCCCCGGCCACTTCTCTACAACACTGCGGAACGTACTGCCTCAGGCTGCCACCCTCCTAATTCCAAACTTGCGCTCCTTCCTACTGGGACCCGGGGCCTGGGGACGACGTCAAGGATCTGGGCACAGTGAGAAACATGAGAGTCCTAGAGGCGTGGGCCAGGGGCTCGCTCCACACCAGGGACGACCTTCCACCGCGGGCTCCAGGCTGTCACCACCATGCTAACCCACTCCAACCTGCATTTGTGAAAAAGGTGGTGAAGTGATGAGGACACGCGTCCCAGGGCCAGTGGCCTCCAGGCCACCAGCGAGAGGGAACAAAGACGGTGAGCCTCAGGCAGAAACGCACATGCTCACTAGAAAACCACCAGGAACGAGTGCAGGGGGCACGCAAGTCAGCGGGAGGGGAAAATGAACAGCCCCAGGGCTGGCGGGCACACAGGGCTGGTGACACCACCGAGCAATGGCGCCTTCAGGGGGAGCCCGTGGCCAACGGCCAAGGACTACAGTCCGCCTGTGACTGAAGAAAATCATCTGAATAAACCACTGGAGGTGTGGGGGGCACAGCCTGTGTAGGAGCCCGAGGGAGCTGCAGGCAGGTCAAGGCCTGTGACAGTCTGTGGCCACCGTGCCAATGCTAAGTGACCTGTGAGCATGTCATCAGTGGGGACCGGCTTCACCTCGGCCACAAAGCATCCGCGGGCTGAGGGCGTCAGCTTCACATAGAGGGACAAACAAGGACAGGGAGCTGACGCAGGTTCTGGGATGCAGGCGCATGGGGGAGGCTGGGAACCAGGAGGCCGCGTTTACATGCTTGCGTGTGGGAGGGAGGCAAGCGCTTTCACCCGGTTTTAGCTGCCACCCCTGCTGGCACTGAGAGCCTGCCTGGCGTGGCTGACACGGGTCCACAGCTCAGGAGGGGCGACTGGGAGCAAGAGGCATGTGTGCACCAAATGCTGGCACAACAGAGGTTCCAAAGACTAAGGACTCTGATGTGGTGCCAGGCACCCGAGTCCCCACCCTTGTCCCACATGGCCCTCACAGTGACCCTGCCACATGAGGCCTGTGCCAGGTCCCGGGGTCGTCGTTACACAGCGCTGCATACGGGGCTTCACACAAGACATTTGTCCCCGCAGTCTGGTGGCCAGAGTCCCAGACTACGGTGACGCGGGGCCATGCTCCCTCCAGAAGTTCCAGGAGACGGGCTGTGGCCACGTGTCCCCAACCCCTGCCCTGACTTCACTTCATTCCTCACCTCTGTCTCAAATCTCTGTCTCTTTTTTCTCACCACTTGTCACCTGACTGCAGGCCACCTGGGTAACCTGGGATGAGCTGTCCATCACAGCGCCCCTCACTTGTCACATCTGCAACCAAGTCTCATTGCAGGTCCCAGAATCTGGCGAAGACGTCAGGGGGGCCCTTCCCATCCCGCAGTCACCCAGTGCCCAGCACAGGGCCTGCCACTGAAGGGTGTCGGGGAGCAGAGGTCCTGCAAGGCTAGTGAGACACAGCTAGGCCGGTGACCTTGGTGCCACACTCTGCCCCTGGGACTGCAGGGGCTTGGCAGCTGCACCGTAACTAACGGTCTCCACACACCAGAGCACAGTCTCACCCAGGGGCACGGCCCCACATGTCACCAGCGAACAGTAATCGAATCGGAAACACACCAAATCTTCGGCTCATAAACAGCGAGGTCCCCCCAGCCTGCTGGCTGGCATTCCCAAGGGCAGGGCGAAGCCCCGCCCACACTCACCAGAACGCACTTCCCGGGCTCCAGGCTCCAGACAGAGCCCTCAGTGTTGACCTTGTGGGTGAACTTCCCCTCCATGAGGACACGGTCCCCACTTTCCTCCAGCACGGCCACCCGGATGGAGCTGCTGCCAAGAGCCACCGAGACCTGCGACAGAGCAGAAGAGAATCGTTTCATGTGTGAAGGTGGTGACCAGTGCGCTCTGAAATGGGAGGGGACAATGGTCCCCAAAGCACCTGGCCAAGCGCCACAGGACAAGACACAAGACATCCTTGAGTCACCAGGCATTTGGAACAAGAATATTGGCACGTGGTCACTCTTAAGTTATAAGACCAGCTGACATGTGGGACGCAGATGTGTGACAGTGCTGCTTTTCCGCAAGGCCCTCTGCAGTCCCAGGGGCAGGCGGGCACCTGTCCTGGGCCGCCTCTGAGGATCAGCCTTCACCAGGGACCAGGCCCTTGGTTCTGTCAGCTCCCTGGGAAACTCGCTCCACAAGCCGAGCTCCGTCCCTTGTCTGGGACCCCGTGCTGGGGCGCCCTCTCTCGGGTTTCCGCGACCAACCAGGGGCTGCTGAGAACGGGCTCCGCCCATGTGGACCTGGCAGCCAGCACCAAAGCCGGTGCGCCCAGGAGTCACTGGGTGAGTAACGGGACGGGAAGCATATGGGGCTCCTGTTTCTATTTGTTTCACTTCCTCCTTTTAAATTCTGAAGTCCTTGTGTTTCATAATGTAGAGTTCTTTTTTTTTATTATTTTAAGATTTTATTGGGGAATTGGGGGAGGGAACAGCATTGGGGAATTGGGGAAGGGGAAGACAAGCTGCTGTCCTTCTGTTCTTCAGTCTAGTTATGGAGGACGTCGCTTCACTGGCCCATGTTGGTATTATCATTGCGCTCTTCCTGGGTGAGGCAGATCGCTCGCTGGCCATTGGACAGCCGCTCACGGCGGCTCTTGGCAGCTCACGGCGGCTGCTGGCCACTCACACTGGCTGCAGGTCACACACGGTAGCTCACGGCAGCCCAATGCAGCCCCACTGCAGCCTACGCTGTCGCTGGCCACTCACAGCAGCCCAGCTCCAGGTTGAGCTGTTGTTCACCATCTTAGCTGTAGAGGGCGCAGCATCACTAGCCCTCATGTGGGATCCGAACCGGGGCCCTGCTGCTCAAAGCTGGCGCTCCCAAGCCAACTCTTAACCAACGTGCTACTCGGCCAGCCCTACATGGACCTTCTTAACAGAGATTAACCGGTTCCAACCAGTAATCTCTGTCCATTCATTAGCCGACCACTAAGCTGACCATGTAGAGATGTCACTGGCCACACACAATAAAAAATACAGACTTCTGAGAATTAGTTCAGAAAAGTCATTAAACAAACAAGAACAATTACATCATGTCCTAAAACAACAAACCATGGGGAGAAGGGAAACTCTGATTTCCAGAGTTGCCACATTGTTATTTAAAATGCCCAGTTTTCAACAAAAAAATTAGAAGACTCACAAAGAAACAAGAAAAGATGGCCCATAAACCAGGGGAAAATATCAGTAAAATCTGTCCCTGAGGAAGCCCAGACATGGAAAGTCTAGAGTTCAGCTGTTGTAAATATGCTCAGAGCTAAAGAAAATCACGTGCAAACTAAAGGGAAGTAATGTGAATAATTCTCATAAGTAGAGAATTGCAATAAAGAGATGGATATTATTTTTTAAAGAACCAAAGGCAAACTCTGGAATTCAAAAGAAAAAAATGAGTGAAAAATCCACTAGAGGGTCTCTTCTAAGTAGGTTTCAGCAGTTAGAAGAATCATCAAACTAGAAGAATAAAAAACACAAACACAGAGCTTCAGAGACCTGAAGGACACCACTAAACACACCACCACACGCACAGTGGGAGTCACAGAAGGAGAGGAAAGAAAGGGCAGAAAATATTTTAAACAATCATGGCTGAAATATTTCCAAATTTGACCAAAATAATTAACCTAGAGATCCCACAAGTTCTACGAACTCCAAGTAGAATATACTTGAAGAGATTAAGACCTAGATGCATCAAAATCAAGCTGTCAAAAAGGCCAAAGACAAAGGGAGAATGTTGAAAAGAGGAAGAGGAAAGCAACATGCCACATGCAAGAAATATTCAAGAGTAACTGCTGATTTGTCATGAGAAACCATGGGGGCTAAAAGGCAGTGGGATGAAGTAATCACAGAGCTAAAAGAAGGGAATCGTCAGCCAAGAATTCTGCATCCAACAACTCTATTCTTCAAAAATGAAGGCAAAATTGAGACATTGCCAGACAATTCATTAGAGAGAATTCATCCTTAACAGACCTGTATTTTCTTGCTTAAGCCCTATAAGAATACTAAAGGGAGACAGACCCTCAGGTTGAAATAAAAGGCAACTAGATGGTAACCAGAACCCACATTAAGAAACAGCCCCAGTGAACGTAAACAGAAAAGACAGCCTAAGTGCATCTCTTGTGTAAATCTTTATAACCTTGGAGTAGGCAATGGTTTTGTAGATGACACCAAAAGCACAAGCAACCAAAACCAAATAGAGATATCTGAATAATAAATAACTAAATTAAACTTTATAAAAATTAAAGACTTTGGTGCTTCAAAAAACACTATCTCTTGGGAAAGTGAAACGACAACTCACGGAACATGAGAAAATGTATACAGAATATTTAGCTGACAAGGGTAGAATAAGATCAAGAGTTTAAAACATTTATAACTCAACAATGAAAAGACAACCCAATTTTAAAATGGGCAAAGCCCTTGAATAGACATTTCTTTGAAAAAGATACACAAGCAGCCAGTAAGTACATGAAAGACACTCAACATCATCAGGGAAATGCAAACCAAAAGCAGTGAGACAGCCCGACAGTCATCAGGATGGCAACAAAAAGCAAAACAAAACAAAAACAGACGTTAGGACGTGGAGAGATGATGAACCTGATGTGTTTTTGCTGGATGTGTAGAACGGTGCAAGCACTTCAGAATACAGGTTAGCAAACTCCGCAGGAGGTGAGTCACGGAGCAGGACCAGCAATTCCACACCGACGCGCTCCAGAACAGAAAGCGTGTCCACATATGGGGAAAGCAGAAACGACTGGGGTGCAGATGTGTGCACGGTGGAGAGCACACAGATGGCCGCATCCTACGTGACAAGTGCTGAGACACCAGCAAAGGGCAGCACAGCACGTGGTGCCAATGCAGGAGGAGCAGGGACCTCATGAACAGGCCAGCGGTCGTCACCCTTAGGTGCTGATGAGGTTCCCCTCAGACTAACACCACCACCCAGCAAGCTGTGTCCCTTCCTGCACAGGAAATGAGGTACAGCACACACGTGAATGCGCTGTGTGTGGAAATGCCCGAGGAACACCCCCACATTTACAAGCCATTACACTGACCACGTCTGTAATTAAATGCAGCACCTGGTTCAAACCCAGAACACTCCCCGCCGACACCCCAAACCATCCTCACCCACATATGACAGTTAGTAGCAGGTGGTGGGGACACTCTAAACCACTTTCTTAAAACTACAGTTTTTAAAAATCAACATTAGTGTCATTTTCAGCCTCAGTTCTATCTCCCTGATTTTGGTTAGTTTCAAGTTCTACCTGTTCTTTCTTAGCTACACGTGGGAGTGCCTTTACCTAATCAAACACAACAGGAAGATCAACGCCAAGGGGTGAAACTCCTACTGGGTCAGGCTGCTTGCTGGCTATTGACAAATGAGATGGGGCCCAAAGCACCACAGAGAAGAGACCTTCCCCGAGGAAAACAAGTTGGCTTAAACTGGAAACCATCAGAATTTAGAGAAAACCACTCTAACGGGGTAAGAAGATCAAAGTGAACTATAAGGCAGCAAAAGTTCAGGCCGTGAGCCCAGCAGCCAGCTGCAGGACCTCACCAGTCAACGACGACCGCCCACAATCTCCCAGAGGAAAGAGAAGAACACTGAGGAGGAAATTAATTCACTTGTCATTCAATGTCATCCACGCATGACTTCGTCTGTAACTATATGACATTTTCCACTCAAAAGACAACCAATCAAGCGGGGCGGGGGTGGGGGCCGGGGCCTCATCACTTTGCGTCTCCAAGAGCTTTCTCATCTGCAAAATGAGAGATTAGACTAAAAATCTCCGGACCTCAATTTTCCAGTATTAAAATCCTATGGTTCAGTGAGACATCACGCTTCCAGCCAGCCTGGCTGACGTCAGCCATCGCAACACCACCCCTCGCAACACCACCCCTGTCATGACCCCAGCTCCAGACTCCCCTGGGCGAGCAAGCAGAGGGGATGAGGCAAACACCCTCCCCGCTAGTGCTTCAGACCAGAGATTGGTTTTTCCATCATTTTGAGAAGTTTTCCTTGAGATTCACCATAGCAGTCTCTGTCCCCCACCACACTTCAGAGGCAAGTCCATTTCCACAGAAATCAGTGAGTAAAGGAGACGCAAGCCTGCAGCTGGAGAAGGGGGCCAGGACCCCTCTGCCAACATGCATTGTCTCCCACCCCCGCCCCTCCACCAAGAGCTACCTACAGCCCAGAGCAAGTGTGCCCACCCGCTGAGCGGCTGCAATCGCAGCCACCATCACGAGGGCACCTCACAGATGCCAAGGAAAAAACCCAAAATAAACACTGCTGACAGGTAGCTGTGTGACAGGTACCTCAGGGGACAGCTGCAAAGGAGCCAGTCCAGAAAGAAGGTGGTAACTCAGAAAAACCTTAGACCAGCAAAAGCCAAGAGATGCAAAATAAACTTCTCCCCGTTTTAAAAAAGGGAGGCATGATTGAAACTCTTAGATCACTAAGAAATGGAGAGACCATGAATACTTAGAAGGTTACAGTATAATAAGAATGCCATGGGAAAAAAACCACTATTGAAGGAGAAAAAGAAAAATTCAACCGTGTAAATTACATAAATGTCTAACCGCGATGCTGTACACTTGAGATGAATATAAAACAACACTGAATGTCAACTGTAATTGAAAAATTAAAAATGGGGAGGAAAAGGTGAAGGAAATAAGAGGTCCAAATTTCCAGGTATAAAACAAGTCAGTCACGGGGATGAAACGTACAGCCTGGGAATATAGTCAATAATGTTGTGACAGCGTGGGACGGTGTCAGGTGGTTCCCGGACTTATGGTGATCACTTCTTTAGGGATATAAATGTTGAATAACTATGGTGTACCCCTGCAACTGATGTAATACTGTATCTTAATAAAAACCTTTAAAAGGTAAAGAAAACCTCAAAAATAAAACCTCAACCACGTAGGAGAAGAAGAAACCAGTGTAAATTAGGTCAGTGGGTGTCACAAAAACACTGATGCGAGCCACACCAACACTTTGACGGCCCAGCCCCCTTCAGTCCCGGCTCCACCCTCCGACTCCCTGCTCATTCCCACACCTCCCGGAGGTCGGAGTGCTGGCCCGAGCCAGCCAGCCTGGACACAGCCCGACAAGCCACTGTGCAGTGGACCCTCCAAGGTTGCTGCTGGTGGAACCACCGCCACCTGCCGAGCCCCACGGTGCCGGAGCATGGCAACGTCTAACGCAGGAATGAGCGGGTCCCAGGCCCCAGGTGGAAGCGGCCACACCATCCCAGCAGTCAGTCGCAAGTGCGTGTGAGAGAAGCGTGTGACGGCCTGTCCCTGAGCGCGACAGGACTGAAGGCAGGACCCTCAGGACACACTGCTTGGGCACAGCAGGATCATGACACGGACGCCCCAATCACTAGCATGTACATGGGACACGCAGTGTTCACTGGACAGCCTCCCTGGGTGGCTGTAGCAAGTACAGAAAGCAGTCAGGCGGCCTGGGTCTCCTGCTGGCGTTAGGCTGGCTTTAACGCAGTCCTTAGAGAGAGCCCCAGAGGCCCCTGGGCAAGCTGGAAGGCAGGTACAGACCAGGAAGCCACTGCTTTTTCAGCCAGTAATGAAGAGTGGTCACCAACACTTTTCATAATCTATTCACCTTCATACAAGGCAATCCAAACTCAAATTAAGTTGAAATCAACACCTGACCCTTGGTCACCCTAACAAACGCTGAACAAAGCAGCCCAACAGAAGGCCAGCGTGCCCCACCATGGCTTACCAGGGTCGGCGGGGACGTGGTCAGCGGGAGCAATTCCATGGGGATGACCCCTAGTTACCTGGTCTGACTGGACACTGAAGTCCAGCAACCAGGGGTCCCTGAGCCCTGGCACACGTCCCGGGGTGGGGTGGGGAGAGGAAGGAAGGAGTGAGTGGTGGTGCCGATGGCGGCCCCGCCTCACTCCAGCACATGGCAAGCCTGTCTCAGGGGCAGCCCGGGGGCCAGCGAGGGACCTGTGCTCGGAGCCTCAGGACAGGCGGCCAGTGAGGCTCAAAGGCTACCCAACCTGGATCTGCACACAGACCCAGACCAGCAGGAGCTGCTGCCACTTCACATGGTGGAGACTCCATAAAACACACATGCAGCTCAGCCTGGGTGTCGTGCCCCGTGCCCTGGGGGCCTTTCTATGGGAGCAGCAGCACTCACTTCGAGGGAGGGGTGGTGCACAGGGAGCAGACCCCCCCGAGCCGAACCAGCTTCACCACCACGTTCACTCAGCCATTACCCACCAGCCTCACTGGGAGAGGGCCCTGTCCAGGCACACGGCGGGGACATGTGCTGAATATCCACGTCGGCCTGGATGACTGAGTGACTCCTGCAGCCTCAACGTCTCACCCACAAAACATGACAGGTCACTCACTTTGCCGGCTGCAGGGCCTCAGGAGGACTGAAGTGAGGACACAGTTTGTAGCACAACCAGTGTTTCATACACGGTGACGTCCCCCTTCACACACTGCACGAAGGTCTTTTCCTTTACAGTGAAGCCCATCTATTTACAACCACCTACAATCGTGTTGGTTCCCCAGGACCTGGCTCCCTTCCCCTGAAGGATTAGAGGAGCTGGAGGTCCACTCAGGCTGTCAAGGTGACAGCCCCCAAGGGACGTGGCTCCCCGCTCAGAGGCGAGCTCAGCCGAGTGCAGAACCGGGATCCGCCTGTCATTACAGAATTGAGTCTCTGCTCTGCCCCTGGGGGATCCCAGTTCTCCAGCAGTGAAGCGGCCGTGCCCACTGGTTGTGTCTTCTGTGGACACTAAATGCCACATATGACGTGAGAACACTACAACGAGAACGAAGCTCTATGCACACCACACAGGAAGGCTGGTGGGGTGGCCGGGCGTGCCCCACTCCCGGCCTGACGGCTTCAACAGGAGGGTGGGGGAGATGGGGTGGAGACCAGGGAGGGAGATGACGGGCTGACACTTGTGCCAAGGAAAGCAGCGCAAGCAGCGCAAAGAGCCCAGTTACCTGCTTGCCCTTCACCACGTGCTCGGGCACCGGCACCTTGAGCTCCAGGTCGGTGTAGTCCTGTGACCAGGTATAGTTCTCGCGCACGGCGCCGTTGTAGCTGTCAGGGTTCCTCTGGAACTGCTCCTGTCCCCTGAGAAAGAACGCGAAGTCAGACAGCAGCCCGGCACACACATCGGCCCGCACGCCAGTGCGTGCACACGCACGCCGGCTCCTGGTCCTCCCAAAGCGCTGCCCAGTCTCACTTGCTTTTGCATCTCTGAGACCGATTTCTGACCCACTCAGCCTCCCGGGGAGCCCGAGGGATGGGACAAAGGGGAGACCTGCAGACATCTGAGTGCAGCTCCCTCATGGCAGGAAAGTGTCGCCACCACAGCCTGCAGCGCGGGGCCTGTTCCTGTGGTACTCACGGAACTTAGAAGCCAGGCCAGTGCCCTGGCCAAGGGCCTCGCCAATAAAACTGGCTTGTGGGTGCCTGCTGCTCTGCTCAACCCTAGGCCACCTGCCGCGTCCCTCCGCCCAAGCCAGCCGTCAGGTCGCGCGAGGGCACGGCCGACAGCCCAGGGAACCCCGCAGCCAGGGCAGCCAGCACTAGCTAGACAGGCCCGGCCAGCAAGCTGCAGTTGGAGAAAAAGTGCAGTAGCACAGGTGCCACAAAAGCTGGGACCAGAGTCTAACTCAATCTGCAAATTAATAAGTAAAATGGTTCTGCAGGAAATGGAATTTCAGGAAAGCCAAGTTCCTCTATAAGGGTTCCAGATAATAAATGAAAAAGGTGTAACAGGGTGAGAAAATCACCATCTGCAACCACAATGGAACATGAGTCTGCACACGGAAGGATCTGGAATAGGCGCATCCCCAGCGGCGGCATATCCACGCCGTTCCCGTCTGACCACTGTCTACAGGGGGCAGGACGGGCAGAGACCACGTTCATCACAGCAGTCAACATGCCAGCGGCCAAGTCCAGAATGTGGAAATGACAAAGGACGAAGCTCCAAGTTTCTTTACAAATAAGACGCGTGGAACAGAAAGAAGGGGATATTCCAAAGGAAGAAGACACAGCAGCCAGTGCCACATCTGCAACATGAAAAGCTACTGTAAAGACATTCTGAGACAATCAGGAAAAGGTGCGCACACACACTGGGACTGGGTGACAAAGGGACGATGGGTTTGGAAGCTGTGGTTATTACATTAACACATTGAGGATGGGGCATTTAAATTGCTTAAATGCATGTTCCCGGGGTTTAAATCATTTAAATCAACTTTTATACTGTGTTTCTTTAAAAATTTATAACAAATTCGCTACTTTTGTGGACTGAAATTTTCAGGAAATACTCACCAAAGACCCTAGCAGCACTTGAGGGTGTGATACCTCTGAAAACATGCCCCCTTGTGGAGTGGCACTAAGCAGAACCTGCAGATGTACCGAGTTTCATTTCTTTTTTTTGTGGGCAGCACAAACATGGCACCTTCTAGCAGGATATTTTCTTGTACCCTGTTCAATTTTCTCTAGCACATTGGCACAAATCACCCGAAAGTCTCCCG